AGCACTTTGGGAGACTGATGTGGCCGGATCACCTGAGGTCAGGAGTTCAAGACCAGCCTGGCCAACATGGCGAAACCCTGTCTCTACTAAAAATGCAAAAATAGGCTGGGCATGGTGGTGCGTGCCTGTAATCCCAGTTACTTGAGAGGCTGAGGCAGGAGTATCGCTTGAACCCAAGAGCCAGAGGTTGCAGTGAGCTGAGATTGCACCACTGCACTCCAGCTGGCGACAGAGTGAGAATTTGTCTCAAAAAACAAAAACAAACAAACAAAAACAAAAGAAAGAAAGAAAAGAAAAAAGGAAAGAAAATTAGCCAGGTGTGACGGCACACGTCTGTGGTCCTCGTTATTTGGGAGACTGAGGTGGGAGGATCACTTGAGCCTGGGAGGCCAGGCTGCAGTGCGCCGTGGTCACACCACTATACTTCAACTGAGGTGACAGAGAGAGATTCTGTCTTTAAAAAAAATTCCATGAGTAAATTAAAAAACAAAGAAATGGGCCAGGCACGGTGGCTCACTTCTGTTGTATAATCCAGCACTTTGGAAGGCCAAGGCCAGGCGGAAGGAGTGCTTGGGCCCAGGACAAGCCTGGCCAACACAGCGAGACCTCATCTCTATAAAAAATAAACAAAACCAGCTGGGCATGTAGCTCGCTCCTGTAGGCCCAGCGACTTGTGAGGCTGAGGGAGGAGGATGGCCTCAGCCCGGAGGTCAAGGCTGCAGTGAGCTGTGATCACACTACTGTACTCCAGCCTGGGCAACAGAGCAGGACACTGCCTAGAAATCAAACAAACAAACCCCACAGAAGAACAGGAGGCTGGTACCACAGACCACACAGAATGATGATGGCAAGGAAGGTTTGCAGAACAGATGTGTTCTAGGAATAATTTGGAGAGCCAGGAGCAGTGGCGCACACCTGTAATCCCAGCACTTTGGGAGGTCAAGGCCGGTGGATCATTTGAGGTCAGGAGTTGGAGACCAGCCTGGCCAACATGGTGAAACCCCATCTCTACCAAAAATATAAAAATTAGCCGGGTGTGGTGGCACATGCCTGTAATCTCAGCTACTCGGGAGGCTGAGGCAGAAGAATCGCTCAAACCTGGGAGGCAGAGATTGCAGTGAGCCGAGATCTTGCCATTGCACTCCAGCCTGGGCAAGAAGAGTGAAACTCCGTCTGAAAAAAAAAAAAAAAAAAA